AATTATTCCTAAGAAGTGACACTTATGACCCATTTTGTCCTTGTCAAGTTTGTCTAGTTGTGAGCTGTCTAAATGTGAAACTCTGGGTTCAAACTGTGTCTAGAAGTGCAGATTTTTTTTTAACTACAATATGGAGTCTTAAAAAGTGGATAGATTTTTTTTGCAATCCAGTTTAACTGAAATTGAAGGCTCCTTTTATGTGCCTTGAATTATTGCTGAAAGAGCTACAGATAAAGCATAAACTTTAACAAATCTGTATCTCCATGGGTATTTCAACATGGAAACTAAAATAAAGGAAATTAAATTAGGGTGAACTAAGCTTCACTAAGATTAAAAACATCACAATCCTTTGAAAATTACTTTTCTTTCTCACACTACATGACCATCAGAGTCTTCAGGGGTTCCTCTCATATGTGCCTACTTGAGAACTTGGGCAAAAGCAAAGCATGGTGGTAAATGCCATTGTTCTTACAGGCTCTGTTCTATATGAAAATAGCATCAGTCTTCCTCCTCCTCCTCCTCCTCCTCCTCCTCCTCCTCCTCCTCCCCTCCTCCTCTTTTCTTCCTTCTGCTCCTCCTCTCCTTACTATCCTCTTCATTGATTTCTTTTTGTTTGTTTGGTTGGTTGGTTTTTGTTTTGTTTTGCTTTTTGAGACAAGATCTCATGTTGTAAACTAGACTATCCTCCGTCTCCCAGACATTGTGCCCCAGTCTCCCAAATGCTGAGGTTCCAGATTTGTGCTACCACATACACATTTTATTCACTTTTAGTGGTCAAGTAAAGTCACATAGTGCTCTAACTTTCAAAAGATTCTTTCAACATGTAACGATGGAAATTATGGAATCATATTTTTAAATAATGATATTATTGAATAATAGCATTGACTATTGCAATGCTCAGATGGGATAACAAGAAAGTTCTGTCCAGACCTCTATGCCAACCACTGCAAACACTACCAACCCTCAACAAATGGGGACTCAGGAAATACATTTGGTATTTCAGTTCTTTTATTCATTCAGATATTTAGTAAATGATTGACATGTCTTTAATTGAGCATTGGGCTAATTTTTATATAAAAAATTGAGATAGAATGTACATCTTGATCCAGGCAGTGGTCATGCATGCCTTTAATCTCAGCACTCAGGAGACAGAGGCAGTCAGATCTCTGTGAGTTCAAGGCCAGCCTGGTCTATAGAGCAAGTTCCAGGACAGCCAAGGCTGCACAGAGAAACCTTTCCTCAAATTAAAACAAAACACAAACAACAACAATAAAAGAATGTCCATAATGGAGACATACATTCTGAAATTTAGAATATTCAGGTAGCTCTCCAGCCATACAACCTGCCAATAGCATGGGTGAAGATTCCTAAATACATCATCTGCCCCCTCACCTCGACTTTAAACACACTGCAACTGCAAACTGAAGATGATGCCAGACATGTCTGTATAGACCTAAGTCTAGAAGCAAGGATGAGGCACGTACCACTGGGTGTTTAGTTATCACCTTGAAACAGGAACAGCATATGGTACTGTTCCAACCAAGGACAATGTGATTTATTACTTTGAATGCATTTAAAAAGGGAATTGTGACATTTTTTTAGAAACATGGTTCAGCAAATCTGAATGTTTTTTTTTTTCCTTGCTGGATTTTACTGTTTAAAGAAACCACCACCAACAGAGGCTTCAAACCTCAAATTATCATTTTACAATTCTGCAGATCAGAGATCCAACATGAGTCTCAAGGTGTCCAGCAGCTATGCTTGCTCTTGAAGGTTCTAAGAAAGAGTCCATTTCCGGGTGGCTGCATATTCTGCAGCTGTAGTGTTTTAGGGTTGTGAAACAACAGATTCTGTATCTTCCACCCGATGAGCTGAGGACTGAGCCACCATATTTTTTGCTTGTGGCCTACATCACTTCCCCATCTTTAAAAGCGGGTGGAATAATTTGCATGTGAAATCTGTTTGTTTGCTTGCTTGCTTGTTTTCTTGTTATAGGGTCACACTCTATAGCCCAGGCCAGCCTGGAACACCCTATGTGGTCCAAGGTGTCTGGAGACTCACAGCAATCCCCCTGCCTCAGTCTTCTGAGTGCTGAGATTCAAAGTATGAACCACACCATCTGACACTGTCTTAATTTCACACTTTTGACTTTTGTTTCTACTTTTAGGGACTCGTATGTTTTGAATGAGATTATCTGCATAATTTAGGACAACTTGCCTTCTCTTCGGCCTAAATAATAGAAGAAGTTGTTTCCCTTTCGACTCAGTTTTTTAAGCCAATTTCTGCCTGTGCTAAAGCGTGATATATGTTTACTAAAGTCTTAAGACATACAGTGGTTAGCTTATTATTCGGAAATGATATTAATCAACTGTTCTTGTTTGAGTCACAGAGTCATCTCCTCTTAAGTCTTAGCTTGTTTAAGGATGAACAAGAGAGGGGGATCAGTGTGTAATCATCTGATATTGGAGTAGTAAAAAAAAAAAATCATTCAGGTAAAGCACTCAAGAGTCCACATACAGCAGGTATTAAGTAGATATAAACTATGGGTATTGTTGCAGTAGCAGTAGCAGCCAGGAAGAGCCTACCATCCTTGATCCTCAAAACCCTTCAGTCCCAGAAAACGGAAGATGCTAACTAACACTTAGTGTGAGCATCTTGGGGGAGAAAAAACCAACAGAGACCTTGCCAGTGCCTTCTACTCGGTATTTGAGTTCCATGAAATCGCCTGACGGTTGAGGTTTAATTTCCGTGTCTGTTAAGTAAGACAGAGCAAGTGTCTAACACACTGGCTAATCAAGTAGCATAGATTGCCCTACTCTTCCTGTTCCATCTAGGAAACTGCTTCTATTGGCTGTCTCCTTAGAGAAGTTATCACAAAAGGCATTGTCCGTTGTGTAACATCCTTGAGGATATTCCAAGTCCTTTCTCCCAATTCTCTCCCTTTAAGTTTTCTATTTATAAGTAAGAAGCTCATCAATGATGATTGTGATGACGAAGGCTAGCCCTTTATTTCAGTGATTTGTACATACTTAGAAAAGTTGTGAAGAATTTCTTAAGAATGTAAACCACAGAGTTCCAGGACTTAATGTCATGCACGCAGTTTTCTTACGTTTTTAACATTTGTCCACACAATCTCAGCAACTCCACATTTTACCTAGAAGTTGCCTCTCTGGTATCCCCTGAGAATCCACAGGACAAATAGTTCCCCCTTGCTTTTGAATGACTCCCAAACAATTTTCAGGTTTATGGAGTACATGCCATGATCTTTTCCACATTTTGTTAAGCATCTAACGTCTTCGCCTGGATCTCTAGTCACAAAAGACTCAGATTTCTAGTATTATGAGCATTACCAAATTCATGACATTTTGTTCTGTGTTTGTGACATGGTTGGAAGATCAGGGTACAGGCCGACCGACTTATTTTCCTTCCACTAAGATTTCCTGGAGACTCTATATACTGGAAAGGCCTCAGGTTTGGTGTTCAAGAAGGACACTGAGGCAGGTTGTCCTTTGGAGGAAGGGAATTATTAGAAGAGCTGTTAGTGCCATGAAGAGACCAGCTGCACATGGTAGGGTTTTAAAGGCAGGTCAGGCCCACCTGAGTAGAGGTGGGCAGACATTCTAAGCTACCAAACCCTCACACACTCCTGATCTAGCTAACATTTCAGACTTGTTTTTAAATTGCTCCTTCGTGGTTGAGTTCTTATTAGCAGACTGTTCTGTAGTAAGTCCCTTGCCTGATATGACTGTTACTTTAAGAATTGAGTCAGCCTCTGTTTTATGTACAGTTTTGAACATGCCTTTGCCGTTACAATGAATTGGTATGTTGTACACAATCCTTGCTGCTGTGTGGTGGGTGAAATGGGTTTCCCAGATTCCTGTGAGGTCTGAAGTTGCCAGCGAACATGCTGGAAATCCTCCAGTGAATACTTGTGAATGTCAATTTGGGAAATTCATGATAGCGCAGAACATGTGAGGAAGTCCCTGGATGAACGGAGATTTCTTCGGCAGAATCATATCTAGGTGAAAATTCAGTTCAGAAATTACCTTGAGACCCCTGTATTGTCCTCAGTGTTGTGCTTCCCTGATATTTGATACACAGAACATGGGCTGTCGAATGATAAGTCTGAATGCCAGTTTACTGTGACTCATCGGGGAAGCACCGTCTCACTGAGACTTCCCGATTTCCTCCCCAGTTTATCTCTAGTCATGGAAATTTATCAAATGGGTTTTAAAGGTAAATAATTTAGGTGCCAAGCTCTCAAAAGTGTTGAGTCTTATGAGAATTAGATTTACCTCTCTTTGGTATGTTCTGCTAGAATGGTAGCACTGGCCTCCCTGCCTGTATGTTTATTTGGGGCAAAGGGTAACTCATGATTCAGTCTCTCTGTATTTGATTTATTCAGGGTTGATCTTTTACAGTTTCCTGGAGACAATGTGTGGAGGTCATTAGCATCATTATTATTTTGGTTATAGTCAGACCACATATCCACACTTCAGCAAAGGCAGTTGGATGGGTTTCATTATTCATTCCAAATAAGCACAGACTCTAATATAAATGTTGCTCAGGATAGAGCTTTGAAATAGATGCTGATTCTTTGAATTCTTTCCTGTCTGTTTTAAGAAATCATGAGATCCTGTTGATAGTGAAGTACAATGTGTCTAAAGTTCGCTTCCAAACACTCTGCTCTTTGCAGTGAAAGTCATCTGCATTCTCTTTATAATTCAGAGCCACAAGAGATCTGCCTAATCTTGGAGATCTGATCCAGTATCATTTAGGGGGGAAAATCCTAGATAATAATTCCACTATTCAAGATGAGTGAAAGCAGTAAAACTTAGGTCTTCTGTCATCTTAAAAAGATACCAGGAGGCAGGGGAATAAGGCCTTGGATTATAGTTGGGGAGATTTAGTTGTTTGTAAAAATGAAATGACTAGTACAGTTATTATTCAAGTTTTTAATCAACAAGAGCAAATGGCATCTGTTTGTTATTATTCTGCAGAAGACAAAGGCTCAGGTCCCCATGGTGCTGACTGCTGGTCCCAAGTGGCTTCTGGATGTGACTTGGCAAGGAGTGGAGGACAGCAAAAACAACTGCATTGTGTACAGCAAAGGTAACCTCGTGACCCCTTCCCCTGTCTCTTTAGTGGCACCGGAATCTGAGGACTGCAGCACCTCTCCGGAGGAAAGGGATGGAGGAGCATGTACAATGGAAGCCTCTCGCTTCCCCTTCCACTCTCTAGTCTGTGTTTCCAGTGACGTGTTCCGATTTTTACTTCTGTACAACATAAACAAAAAGAGTCACAGCAGTAATTCCTTGGTGCTGGGACCCTTTGCTAAGCACTGTGTGTGAGCAGCTTGGCTGGTGTCCTTTCTCTTTACTCTTAGTTGTGTGGATAGCTGCTGGGTTTGGTTTTATGAAATCTCAGATTCCCCTCTTCGACGTTATTGACCAAAGAATGTATTCCTTTTGAAATTTAGCAATTTGTGTCCAGAGGCATGCTTCAAGAGGTACTACCTTGCAGTCAAGTTCCAAAAATCATGCAGAATGAGAGGGGAGCTGAAAATGAAACTTTTGCAAACACCAAATTCTGCCCCATGATGCTTTGTGCAGGGCATGAGGCTAATGAGCAAGAGGGGGCCTGATGGCCTGCAGAGTGCTGCCTTTGATTTGCGCAGGATGACATCAGCCTAGCCACCTTCTTGTAACTACAAAGGGGTCTGCAGATTGGTGACTGACACACCATGAGACAATTGTCATTGACAGGAATGTGAGCTGTGTTTGGAGGCTGGGGTCTGGAGGTTGTAGGCTTGCGTGTTTCCTCTACCTTTAAGTTACAGGCTCCAGCTCAGTATTCGCACAGTGAGGTCCCCAGTCTCACTTCGTTGTGAATATTGCAAAACCTTTTGCTTCTCATGTTTCATTTCTTTCAGCTTTCTTTTTTAACTAAATAGACCTACTGAGATCAAAGATGTGTTTGCTCATTGAACCTCGAAACCATGAAAGCAGACAAGGGAGCAAGCAAATAAGCACCCCTATCAATATATTAACATATAAAACACTAATCATAACATCAAAGACTCCCAAAAAACTTGCTAGAAACAATTACAACTTGTTCCTATAATCATTACAATTTGTACATTTATAAGAGGATTGCCTCCAAACTACCCTGAGCCTTTGAAAGTTGAAACACCGGAAAGAGGGAATTTGCAAGCTAAAAACACAGTCTGCACACCAGGATCTGATTATATTTCTTTCCCTTCTGTAATTGCTGGTCACAGACCCACCAGTTTTCTAACCTGCAATATGTGCTATATTCTGTTGGGATCCTTTAACTAAAGGAGAAGTGAGAATTCCCTTGGCTGTATCTGCATAACCCATCAACATAGAGTATAGTGAGTCAGTTTTTAAGTACCCACATTCAGAATATAAGCAGGAAACAGTTCTGGGTGTATAGATTCCATTGTGAGCATTAGATTTCTGTTGGCCAATAATAACTGAACTTCACTGTGGGGATATAGTAGGAAAGAACAGTGAAAATAACTTTCCTCTGAGATGATCCAAACCTACTGTATTTATATCTTGGATTGTTTTAGGAAAGATAATTCTGAATTAAAATTATAATTCCGTAGTCACTTCAGTTGAGTGCTTCAACTTGATGAACATTGAACACAATTTTGACTTTGTATCGTGGTTGTCTGTTCTTCAAGTCTTTTGTCAATAACTACATTCTGGGTAATTTTCAGAGGATTATTAATATTCAATCAATTAACTCATAAAGCATACACCACATCTAACCACATATTAGCTTTACACATTGATAGCCACTATTTTGGAATACTCTTTAATTCCTGTCTTTAATTATCTTGTACCAAAGTGTATACACTTCTCCCATCACCTATCATTGTTTTTCTTATGATCAATGGTTATATGTTCAAGAAAAAGAAACATACGACATTAACTACTTCTCTTCCCTATCCCATCAACTATTTATGGAGAGTAAGGAGTATGTTTTATTCACTCTCTGCCCTTAGCCAGGCATGTTCTCTGCACACACAAAAAAAAAAAAGAAAGAAAAGAAGGAAAGGAGGAAGGAGGGGAAGGAGTGAGGGAGGGAGAAAGAAAAGAAATACTGATTGATAGATTGTATAAATGATGAATAGCTGCCAATCACTGTAATAGACATATCACATAAAATGTTGTCAAATGGCATGAATTGCTGATTCCATTTTTTTTTAGGCTGCAGAAGATTATTTGCTATTGTTTAATTTATAAGAATTCAGGTACTAGACCTGCAATAAATCCTGTATTGCATCATTTCTTTCATCTCCTGCAAGGTAACAGATATGTGTCTCCATTTTACAAACGATAAATAAGAGAATTGTGTAGGTAAGTTGTATATTGTGGTTATAAAACTAACAATAAATGTTCGCATAGCTTAAGATCTAGTTGTACACACTAAAAACTACCCTCTCTCCATGAAGCTTTAAGACAGCCCAATGAGTTAATTCATGTTTTCTTTACTTTACATGTATAAGGTCGAGAAAGACAGTGTAATTGTCTTTAGTCATGCATTCTGACAATGGAGGCAAATTTCAGTCCAGGTCCCAGCAACTCCAAATCCTGTGTTCTTCGTACCACATGACCCCAAGTTTCCCTGTCCAACTAACTTCATCGTAAGTCCCCTCAAAACAGTCAGACCTTTATGCCTAAAATTCATAAAATACATTTCTTAAAGTAGAACATTTCTCCCCAAATATTCTATAGAATCCTACAATTGAAAAAGCACCCTTGACCAAATGCTTCCTGCTTGCTATAATCTATCTTGAAAATTCACCATACATGTTGGTAGTAATGCTTGTTCAATTACTACAGTAAAATACCTAAGCACATGAAAATGTACTTTCATTTCTCCTCTAAATGGTCACCTTTTATATAATAGTACTTCCCCGAGTAACAAACTCTAGGAAACAACTGAAGACTACTCAGATCTCCCGAGTGCTTCAGAAAACTGAACTAATTTTGAGTACTCAGACTGCCTTGCGGGGTAGAGACAGCAGAGTATCCTGGCTTCTGCTAGGTATCATTTGGGTCATGGAGACTAGAGCCTCATGGTCTCTGTCTCTCTGTGCATATGTGTACATTGTGGGTGTGTTGTGTGTTTTTGTTGGGGATCAGGGGAGCAATCTGCTTGCGTAACTGAGATTGCAGGGCTATCCTGGATTTTAGGCACACTTTATCTTTATTCTGCTTCCGTCATCTGACGTTCCTTCCTTGTGTAAGCAGCAAGTAGCATCATTAGACAGGATCACTGGTGGTGGCTAGCTCCAGACTTGTTCTGCCAGGATAGTAACGCCAGTGAAAACAAAACAAGCTTGAGTGTTGAGTAATACAGAACCAGTGATTCACTGTGACTCTCACTAGCATACCTCAGTCACATTGGAAGACGGAGAGACTTGAACTGGGCCAGTGGGGTCAGGAAAAAATTGTTCCCTAAATACAGCCTTGGAGCTGCTGTCATAGCACAGGCTCTCCTGTGAGCGGCTTCCGGGTCCCTGGATGTATGGATCATCAGTGTCAAATCCCTGTGAGCTTTCGATAAGGAAAAACATAGGTTCCCAATAACGTGACTGTGTGTGTTCCTTTTTTATTCTCTGTCCAAATACTTACACACACTACTTGTGAATTCTATGTCAATACCATTACCACAGGACCCATCTATCTCAGAGTATATCAGCAAATACGATATAAGTTTTATATGTGTAGCATTTTGTAGAAGTGGTTAACTGGGAGACTTTCTATAGTATTTTTTTTTTTACAGGATAAAAAGAGGCTTCATACTGTTACTATTTATGACTCAAACTTACTTAAAATAATGTTAAATACGGTCTAATAACAAAATTATATGTAACTATAAAGCTTACATTTTCTAGGTATCCATGAAACAAGTATTTGAAAGTAACATTTGTGTCACTTAGAGCTATTTGACAAGCTGGCATCATTCTGTTTAGTCAAAATAGAAAATAAGACCGTTCTTGACATTAACATCTTAATCTGATGTGGTTTTCCTGCCCCAACTATCCTATATCCTTCCAGACAATAAAAGACTAGATTCATTGGCCATCTGATTGTTGCCATTATTCCCAACAGACCCCAGATAATTCTAATATCCTTATCTCATGAAGCAACATATTGAATGGCCTTACCCTGGAGTTAAAGGGAGCCCTGCTGGAGGAGAGAGTGTCCACAGGGCAGCAGTGCTAAAACCCACATTGAGTGTTGCCCATCTATTCTTTACTTTCTCTGGATTGGGAAGCATGGTTTCTTTTTCATGCGTGAAAAAAAAAAAAGGTTGGTCAGATATTCTAAGTGTTCAAAGCTAAACTTGTAGTTTCTTCCACGTGGATATTTTCAAACAGTTCAATTTCAATGTTAAATTTTTAGGAAGTTATTTCTAAATAAACCACTCAATATGTCTCTGTGCTGAGTCAGCAACATCAATCAAAAGAATGGCAAGCTATCAAGTACCCCTCATTTCCCTTTATATGTTAGAGCATGGTATCATTGTAAAAAAAATGTCCACATGGAGTTGAGGGCAAAATTCATAAAATACATTTCTTAAAGTAGAACTTTTCTCCCCAAATATTCTGTAGAATCCTACAATTGAAAAAGCGCCCTTGACCAGATGCTTCTGCCTGCTATAATCTATCTTGATTATAGCAAGTATAGTATAGTGTAACTTATACTCTGTAGATATTGGTTTTCATAACTATGTATATAGAAGACCAATAGATTCTTGGTGGAATTTTTATGAAGAAGGACCTAGGCGCAAGCCTATGTGTGTTATCACAGCCGTCAAATAAGTCTGTCCTTATGGTATATATGAATTAATAGACGATGACACCAGTCCTTAAATGATGATCTATAAGAACACATGGTCACCTGTTATTTAAGAGGGAAAACGTCCATAGTTCTCATGCAGTAGCAACAGGTCTACTTCTCTAGCTTTAAAAATGTGTCACAGGCTCAGAGACCTAAGGCCTTGCCTGAGGAAAGCACCAGCTTTGTGTACCATTGGGGCACATGGTGGTTTTGTGTTTTTGACATTTACCT